ATCTTCATCACTAAGTGCTTCAAGTCCTATTCACTTTCAGCAAGCAAGGTAGTGTCATCTGCATAACACAGGTTGTTAATGAGTCTTCCTCCAATCCTGATGCCCCATTCTTCTTCATATAGTCCAGCTTCTCTGTTTGCTCACTATACAGATTGAATAAGTATGGTGAAAGGATACAACCCTGATGCACACCTTTCCTGATTTTAAACCACGCAGTATCCCCTTGTTCTGTTCCAACGACTGCCTATTTGTTTATGTAGAGGTTCCTTATGAGCTAAATTAAGTGTTCTGGAATTCTCATTGTTTGCAATATTATCCATAATTTGTTATGATCTACGCAGTCGAATGCCTTTGTGTAGTCAATAAAACACAGGTAAACATCTTTCTGGTATTCTCTGCTTTCAGCCAGGATCCATTTGACATCAGCAATGATATCCCTTGTTCCACATCCTCTTCTGAGTCTGGCTTGAATTTCTGGCGGTTCCCTGTTGATGTACTGCTGCAGCCATTTTTGAATGATCTTCAGCAAAACTCTAACTGGGTGCGCATTTAGCTGCTGGTAGCTCCCAGTACTCCTTGGTGTTCCCTGGCTTGTAGTGGCATCACTCCAATCTAGACCTCCATCTTCACACTGCCTTTCTCTCAATGTCTCTGTCTGTCTTCTCCTATTCTTCTATAAGGAAACTCATCATTGGATTTAGGACTCACCCTAATCCTGGATAATCTCATTTTTAAATTTTTACTTTAGTTGCATAAACAGACACTAACTCCAAATAAGGTCACATTCTGAGGTAACAGGTGGACATGAGTTTTAAAGTGTGTGCTCTGGCCCCTAAATCTCACGTCCCAAAAGTTCTAACCAATTCCGCCATCAACTCTAAATCCAAATGTTCATCTAAATACCATCAACTCAAAACATCCCAAATCTCATCATCTAAAACATCTAAATCAGATGCAGGTGAGACCCTTGGTATGATCCAGTCCGGGGGGAAATTTCTCTCCATCTGTGGACCTTTTAGTGCAGGGTAGCCACACCTTGAGAAGTCTATCAGTTTTCTTCTGCTGTGTAGCAAATTACCACAAACTCAGCAACTTAAAACAACATCTATTAATTAGCTCACAGTTCTGTAGGTCATAATCCTGGTACAGTGTTGCTGGCTTCTCTGCTCAGGGTATCACAAGGTTGAAATCGAGGTGTTGGGCAGGCTGAGCTCTTATATAGAGGTGCTGGAGAGAAATCCACTTCCAGGCTCATTCAGATTATTGGCTGAATTCAGTTTCTTTTTGGTATAGGACTGATGTCCTCATTTTCCTGCTGGTTGCCAGCCAGGAACCTCACTCAGTTCCTTAAGGTTGCTCACATTCCTTCCTATGTGGCCCCTCCATCTTCAAACTGGAGATGTTATATTGAATCTCCCTAAAGTTTCAGCTATCTCACTTCCCCTTCTTCCGCCACCCACCTGTGAAAGCTCTCTTCTTTAAAGGTCTCATGTGGTTACATTGTCCAAACTATCCAGGATAATCTCTCTATCTTAAGGTCAACTGTGGCACATAATATAGCATAGTCATGAGAGCAAGACCTCAGCATATTCACAGGTTCTAAGCATTAAGGCGGGACATCATTCGGGGGTCATTTTAGAAATTCTGCCTAACACAGCGTCCTAATCTTCTAGGGCAGCAGTAACAAAATATCATCAAGTGGTGTCTTAATGGGACAGAAATTCATTTTTTCACAGCTCCTGAGGCTAGAAGTCTGAATTCAGGGCACAGGCAGGGCTATGTTCTCTCTGTGTTGTCTCCGGGGATAATCCTTCCTTGTCTCCTACAGATTCTGGTAGGCCTGCACACTTCTTGGCATTCTTTGGCTTATAGAAGGATCTTTATATGCTGGCTTTTCAGAAGGGAGGTTTTTGATCTTCAGAAATTTCACGTTGAAAGGTGAACATCATTCCCTCCACCCCCTTGGAAAGTGAATGTGGCTACAAGGACCAAAAGCCATCAAAATATTCATGCCCTTCAAACCCCACTGTGTACAGTCTGCTAAGGAGGCAGCTGAAACATTGTAAAGAGCTATAGCACAAAGATGTTCATTCCATTGTTATTTACAATAGAGAAAACTGGCCACACTTGTGTTTTGAGGCACAGCCACAGCCCTTGGTCATCCCAGGCTGTGAACTGGTTTTCCTCTGTCTTTGACCTTGTTCACACTTGTCCCTGCCTGACAAATTCTCATGAGCTGGTTTACAGAACAACAGGAAACAGATGCTAACCCAAACTGCATGGGAGCAGTCACTCTGCATTTTGGAGGGAAAAAGCTCAGCAGAGACCAAAAAGGAACCAGATACAGACATTTTCTTGTTTCTTTTTTTTTTTTAAAGAGAGCTGCTACCCAGAATTTAGTCCAGAGCATCATCCTGAAAGGTACATGTCTTTGGGACAGCCACTTGTCAAAGCAAGGCTGACAGGGGAGCTGGCGCCCATTCCCTGGTCTTGCCTTGCAGAAGGAAACTCAGGGCCAGGAGCCCAAGAGGGACAGGCAAGGGGAAGCGGGCACTTTGAGGGCCCAGCTGGGAAATCAGCCTCAGCCTTTTCTTTCTTGCAAAATGCAAAAGATTTCCACAGATTGCTGCTGGGCGAGCTTCATGCCAAACAAGTGTTGTTTGGTAGTTCTGGTTTAGAAAGAAAATATTTCATTATTGAGAATAAAATAATGTCTCTAGATTGCCACATGATAAAGCTCTTATTATTTATTCCTATGATGAGCCTAACCTTTCCTTGATTTCCATAATAAAGGAAACGATATGATACGTGGTTTGGGGGATTATGACCAGGAGCGCATGAAGGTACTTTGAAACGCTAGTAAATGGCTGCACGCTCTGTGCTGGAGTGCCGCTAATTGGAACGCAGGCTGATAAGAGTCTACGCTAATTTAGGCATTTTAAGCTATATTCAGACTGTAGTTACACTAATGCATATTGACAAGATATAATGCATTACATGCAAATAACCCCATGGACGGGCCTTCCCGGAAAAAAAAGAGCTATCTCTGCAGATAGGACCCATCTTCGGATACTAGTGGTAATTAGGAGCCCTGGTGGCGCAGCAGTTAAGAGTTCAGCTGCTAACCGAAAGGTTGGCAGTTCTACCCACGCAGTGGCTCCACTGGAGAAAGACCTGGCAATCTGCTTCTGTAAAGATCACAGCCTAGAAAATCCCACGGGGGCAGTTCTACTCTGTCACATGGGGTTGCTGTGTTTCAGAATCGACTCGACAGCACCTAACAACAACAACAGTCGGTAATTTGGGGCAATTTCGGGCAAACAGTTTTCTGCAGAGCAGAAAGAAATGGAGAACCCACAAGCTTCTGAGGTGGGAGAGTGGAGAGAAGACTTTTCCTGCTCTGGTGCTTTCGATCGGGGTGCGAGAAGGCAGTCGTCTTCCTTGGAAACCTTCCAGAGTCCTTCTGCAGAGCCCTGGAGCCACACATGTTAATAACCAAGGCCCCCGCCAGCAGAAATCACACTTGTGCAGAAGCCAAACTCTACTGGTTTAAGCCTGTTACATAAAGTTATTTCTCAAACAGTACATAACAGTTTCTAATTAACCCCCGAGGTGACACCTGGCTCAGATGATTTTGGTCCAGTGTTGGCTGATTGATTAGGATTCTGTATCCAGGCAGTGAATTTGGGGATCAAATTGGTTTTAAATTAACTTCTAAAAATGCTCATGTTTGCCATCCGGCTTGGGCCCTGGAGAGCAGAAGGTAATGACTAATTCGTTACTGGGGATTTCTCCACAGCCTTTCCTTCTGTGAAATGATCTTCCTCCCCTTTTTCTTTTTCTGGGGTGAGGGCCGTTGGTGATCCGACGTTTAATTTCATGGCGGCACATCTGGCACGGTTTGTGTTTGGATACATTCCTGTGTGTTTTGCTTCTCAATCACACTTGGGGCTGGATGGCCACTCAGGCTGACCACAGCAGGCCAGGCAGGCACGCTGGTGGCCCCTAAGCCCTGCCTGGGGAGACATGAAGTCGGTACCCTCCGTGGGCTCCCCTCCTGATGTCATGGGTGGGGCTGGATCACCTCATCACCCACACCAGAACCTTTCCTAAACAGGATAACGCCAGGCAAGGATGGACACCTGGAACATTGCTTGCCAAAAAAGGGAACCATTTTGAGGTCACAAAAAACACTTTGGGGCTGATTGTGAGAACCTCTTGTCTTTCTCCTTCTCTGCAACCCAGATCCTGGGTTTAAGTGGCGGACAAAGGGCAGGAAACAGAGGGGAAGGGCAGATAGGTGAGCATGGGGTCACCCCATTGCTGCCCCCTTGGGGCTTTTGACAGGTGACTGTTCCACATCGGTGAGAAGTTGTTCCATTTGGTTTACTTCCTGCATGTGTACTATACAGTAGGCACTCAATACATACTGAATGACGCGAGGGTTGCCTTCGGGCTCAAATAACACTTGACAGAGAAGACAAAACTCATCCTTCCATCTCTCCATGCATCCATCCATGCTTCCATCCATGCATCCATCCATGCATCCATCCATGTATCCATCCATGCATCCATGCATCCATCCATCTGTCCATCCTTCCATCCATCCCTTTGTTCTTTTGACAAATATTCATTGGGTGCAGAGTACAGAGGTTTTTAATCTGGAGTCTTAACCTGGACTTCTTTTTCACTAACCTGTAACTAATAAAAGTTAACACTTCCTCTAAGTGTGAATGTAGGCAGCAGCACCCAGTAGCATCAGCAGAACCTCTGACTTTGTCACCAATGGAAGTCAGATACCTTAGATCACGTTAACAGTGCCGCAGATACTCCAAACCTTGTTTAAAATCATAAGTACTGGAATGAGTGTGACTCAAGGACATATATTCCTATATCCCAAACTTAACCTTTCAAGATTTGGGTAACGATTTCAATATACAGTCAATTCTCGTTATTCATGGTAGTTATGTTCCATAAAGCTGCCACGAACACTGAATTAGCAAATATTAAGCCATTCCTTCATGGAGACACACACGGTTAGGTTCCTGCAAGCCTCTGGTCACAACATTTTCATCAACTGATCAATACACACCCTTATTTTCTGTTTAAAGACCCCTTGTTTAATACAGGTTTTAATTTAATTTTAGTTTAATGTTGTTGATTCATTAACATTGAACACATGACTGACAGCACCATTCCTCATGTCAACAAAGCTTATCTAATACATGTATTTTCTCTGTAAGGCACATCCCAGCCTTCTTGTGTTTAGGAACATGAGACAGCACTTCAGCACTGTGCTTGGGGGCCATTTTAGACAGCGAAATCACCAACAAAAATGTGAAAATCAGGGCACTAAACAGACCGTGAAAAGGACACGCGTGCAGTATGGGAGCTGAAACAAGAAGGCAGAGCGTCGCCTTGTTTGACGTCAGCGGGGAACGCGTGTGTGAAGCGACTCAAATTTTTCACCGCTCTGCGCATGCTCCCAAATGGCTGCGAAAGTGCCGAGAATGTTGCTTTTGGGGTTACAAATACATTTTAGCGAGTAGGAGAATCCGCAAATATGGAATCCACAAATTATGAGGATTGACTGTAATTGACTTCTGGTGAAATGTAGTGTATTTCGTTTTATGCTTTGTAAACACTCTTCTGAGGAGGGGTCTGCGGGCTCCACCAACCCCCAGGGGGTCCCCGACACAGGAAAGACCTGATTCCCCACACTCCCAGAAATAAAGCTAAGGTCTTTCTGGCTGTTTGCTCACTGGGCAAAAACAAGCGACCTGATCACTCCCAGGTTAGGACAGTATGTTTGTGATGGCGTAACTTAAAATAGAGGCTAATTAAGTGGCGTGGGCGAAACTTACTTTGGGCTGGGGTGAGCACCTCAAAGAAAGGGCAGTCCCCTTTGGATCAGAGCCTCGCTTCCCAAGCACAGCCCACCGACCAGAGGCACCAGCCCCACTGGGAAGCGGGTTAGAAACCAGAGTCCCAGACCCAGACCTGCCGAATCCACTTCTGCTCTCTAACAGATGCCCAGGGGGTGTTCACACTGCAGTCTAAGATGCGCGGCTCCACACATTAGTATGGAGGGGCGTACTGGGAGGCCCCTGGCTCCAGGTAGAAATGCAGCTTATGTGCCACCCTGAAGTTTTGAGGGGGGACATTCCACCAGCAGTACCCTGGAGGAAAGCTGCCCCCTCCCTAATTCTTTGAGCCACATTTGTTGGCATCAACGGAGTGCCAGAGCCTGTGCAAGGTGCAGCCCTGCCCCGTGGACGGTCGAGTTCTAGAGGGAGAAGAAGGCAAGAAAGCAGTAAACAGTGCAGTTTCAGGGCGTGCTAAGTGCCAGGAAGACCACAGATAGGGGAGTGTGTGGAGTGGACTAGAACTCAGGGAAGGGGGACCTGCCCAAGCTCACGTGCCCAGCAAGAGCAACGATGGGACCCTGCGGGGCCCACGATAACCGGGAGGATGTGGGCCGGGGAGGGGCAGGCATGGGAGGGGTGGACTGTGCTTCCTTCCGGAAAAAGGCGGCTCTGTGAAGACCCAGGAGAAGATGTCTCAAGCAGTGGGACCAGCATGTGCAAAGGTCCTGTGGCAGGCAGGCTAGAGTAGCTGTGATAACAGCGAAAGGGCAGACTGGTCACCAGGCAGGGCCTGCTGGGCGTGGGGGCTCAAGGCTCGTCCTCCAAGGCCCCAGACTCACCAGGGCACTCTGCAGTGGGCGCTGGTAGCCGGTGGGTCGGTAGTGCCGCCTCTCCGCGGGGTCAGTGTGGATGTCCCCCAGGTATAGCTCCTCCACCAGGCGAGGTGGGGCGCGGGGCTGCGGCTGGAGGTGGCGCTGTACGCGGACTAGGCTGAGCTCGTGCATGGTGAAGCCCAGCGTCGCCGCGCAGTCCTGCTTGGCCCGGGTGCCCAGCAGCTCATACACGGCCCCGGACAGCCAGGTACGGGCCGGGGGCAGCCGCCGGGCGCAGTCTCTGCTGGCCGGGCTCTGGCCGAGGCGCCCGGCGACCGCGAGCAGCGCGCCGCGGCTGTGGAAGACTATACCCACCTTGAGTAGGTGGTAGTCAGCCTCGGTGGCGCCCCGGGTGACCCAGGAGGCCCGGCGCAGCCGCACCTTGCCCTTGACGAGCAGCGAGTGCGCTGGCTTCCGACAGGAGGGGTCCTCGTAATAGAACTGGTAGGCGCGGAAGAGGCGATTGGGGTAGAAAGTATACGAGCGGGTAAGGAATTCGGGTCCTGGGCGCACCTCGCAGCTGCCAAGGGACGGGAGAGGGGAAGAGAAGGGTTGGTAGAGCAGTGAGAACCTGCCCGGGAGCCCCTCTCCCCCAGCCTCAGTGTGGCCCCAGTTCCCACCAGCCTCCTGTTCTGGCCTCAGCTCGGGAGTGGCCCCTCCAGCCTTAGTTTTCCTGACTGGTCTCGGCAGCCCCAACTTTGGGGCTGTGGCCTTCCACTCAATGGCTGTGATCTCAACAAAAACCTTTTCTCGTTCCCTTCCATTGACCTAACATCCTCCCTGTGGTGTGGGTCCCTGTGGGCCGTCCCAGAACTCTTCTGGCCCAAGATTTGCACAGGCTTTTTGCAGTCAGAGGACCTGGGTTCAAATCCCATCTGTGCTCCTCCTGGGAATGTGAGCTGGAGGAGTGCCCCAGTGCTTGGCTCCCTCCTCTGTAACACAGAGGGGACAGGTCCACATCACAGTCAGGAAAGCATCGAGTGCAGTGGGGACACCTGGGAGGTGCTAAAAAATAGGGTTCCTTTGCTGCCATTTGGGGGCCAGCTATTTTATGTGCTCTAGGATGAGGGGCTCTGCCTGTTTCTTTCCCCCTGAACGCCTGGTGCCTGGCACAGCCTGGTCCACACTGGACCCTCCTAGGTGCTTGCTGAATGGATGGATGAATGATGGATGGATGGATGGATGGTGGTTGAATGATGGACAGATGGATGGATGGATGGATGGGTGGATGGCTAGATGGATGGATGGTGGATGATGGATGGATGGATGGTGGATGATGGATGAATGGTGCATGATGGATGGATGGGTGGATGGTGAATGATGGATGATGGATGGATGGATGGATGGTGGATGATGGATGCATGGATGGTGGATGATGGATGAATGGATGGTGGATGATGGATGGATGCATGGATGATGGATGGATCTTGGATGATGGATGCCTGGATGGTGGATGATGGGTGGATGGATGGATGATGGATGGATGGATGGATGGTGGATGGATGGATGATGGATGGATTGATGGTAGATGACAGTTGGATGGTGGAAGATGGATGGAGGATGATGGATAAATGGAGGGATGGATGGATGGTGGATGATGGATGGGTGGATGATGGATAAATGGATGGTGGATGTTGGATAGATGGGTAGATGGATGGATGATGGATGATAGAAGGGTGGATGGATGATGGATGGATGGGTGGATGGTGAATGATGGATGTTGGATGGATAGATGGGTGGATGGTGGATGATGGATGAATGGATGGTGGATGATGGATGGATGGTGGATGAATGGGATGGATGCATGGATGATGGATGGACCTTGGATGATGGATGCCTGGATGGTGGATGATGGATGGATGGATGGATGGATGGATGATGGATGGATGGATGGATGATGGATGGATGGATGATGGATGGATGGATGGATGATGGATGGATGGATGATGGATGGATTGATGGTAGATGACGGTTGGATGGTGGATGATGGATTGATGATGGATGGATGGTGGATGATGGTTGCTTATATCCTGTCTCCCTCTGTGACCAATGGGAGGTCCTTTCTTGACCAGGGTTTATTCATGTCTGTGACAGGGTTTGTTGACCTAAACTACGTTTTTGTACACTTTCACTATATGGTGTCAGATAATAAGTATGCTCAGCCTTGTAGGCCAGATGGTCTTTGTTGCAAATACCCAGCTCTCATTACAGTGCTAAAGCACCTGTGAACAGTATGTGAATGAATGGGTGTGTTGGGGTTCCAATAAAACTTTATTTACAAAAACATGCAGTGGGCCAAGCTTGGCCCACAGGCCTTAGTCTGCAGATGATGCAGACAAGTACAGGGTGGGAAATGGAGGTAGGGCAGTTCAGTGATTCTTGCACCCACAGTCACACCTGGACTGGGCAGGGGAGCCTCTGGGACTTCCCCATTGTGGACTCAGATAGGGTGGATGGTGGAAAGAAACAGCAGGTGGTATTACTCTAATCAGGTAATACCTGTGCTGTTAATGTCTTGATATTTTTCATACAGCGCTATGGTAGCTGAGGAAAAATGTTACCATCCAGAAAGAAAACAATCCCCTCCCCATTCTCTTTCAATCTGTCTGATTATGTTAAAGAGAGGGTCTCAATCTGTAGCTAATGTATCTTTAACCTCCCTTTTCTCTCTGAGAGAACAGACTCAGAGCCTCCCGTGGGCACTGGGTCTAGTGGCAATTTAATTATGTTGTTTTATTTTCATTGTGCTTTTTTTTCCTACAGTTACCTCCCTTTTAAGGTTAGTGACACTGCTATCTATTTCTGGGGCAACACTAAGCTTCCTTTAAAGAATTTTGTCTTACAATAAGTGTGTGCAGTTTACTGTACGACATTTGTTGAGGTATAAACATAAATATGTTTAAGCCAATAAAAGCAAGTTGGTTCAAAGAAAAATATTAAGTAAATAACAGTCCCAAAACTAGTTGCCATAGAATCGACCCTGACTCATGGTGACCCCATGTGTCTCAGAGCAGAACTGGGCTCCCTAGGGTTTTCAATGGCTGGTTTTTCAAAAGTAGATCGCCAGGCCTTTCTTCTTAGGTGCCTCTGGGTGGATGCAAACCTCCAACCTTTTGGTTAGCAGCCAAGCATGTTCACCATTTGTACCACCCAGGGACTCCAAATAATAGTACAGGCAGTCGTTAACCATGGTGAGAGGCACCCCGCATACCACAGCCCTGTCCTGGCCCATTTCTCGGACGCCACCCAGAGAAGGGGTTTGCCTAAGTAGACTCTTGGTGTCCCAGCCTCTGGGACCTTATCTGCACTCCACCCGGGAAGCAGCAGAGCTTGTCTGGAGACCAGGGAGGGGACCTTTCTAAGAAGCACTGCTCTGGAATGCTGCTGTCTCGCGGCAGGAGTGGCCTGTCAGGGCAGCCTGCAGCCAGTGCTGCCCCCACCCCCTGCCCAAGTTCTGTCTCTGAGGGACCCTGGCCAGTGGCCCGAGAAGTGGGTGTGGAGCCCCGTGCAGCCCTGAGAACCTGGGAGTGTGCCTGCATGGCTTCATGGAGTCTCCTCCACCCCCAGTGCAAGCAGATGTTTGGCAGGCGTTTCCTCCCTGAGCTCAGAGGTGCATGGAGGACATGGGTGTAGAGAGTGCTGTCCTTGAACAGGAACAGGACCGGCAGAGGGGACTATGGAGCCCGGACAGGAAGGGCTGTGTTAGGAGGCCCGGGAAGGAGGCCTCTGCTGGCTGATGTGGAGTTTGTGCTCCGCAAATGAGGGCAGAGACTGGTGTCTGCAGTGTCAGGGGGCCTGTGAGGATAGAAAGAGAATTAGATGAGCGCGCACACCCGGCCCTCTCCTGGATCTGCCACTTCCTGCCTCAGGGCCTTTGCACCAGCTGCTCCCTCTGCCTGGCTCCTCCTCTGGCTCTCAGGATGGCTCATTCCTCTTCTTTCAGCTCTCATCCACATGTCACCACCCCCCAAAAGCCTTCTCTGACCACTGTCTCTAAAGAACCTCCCTGATAACTCACTATCACAGCCTTGGTTTTATTTCCTTCATTGCAAATTCTGGCACCATCTCAAGCTTATATTACTTATCTCTGGGTTCTTGTGCTGATCCCCTGCTTCTGATTCATAGTAGGTGCTCGGTAAGTGTTTGTATACTAGGTGCTCCATAAGCGCTTGTACACTAGGTGCTCGATAAAGTACTTGGATAGTAGGTGCTCAATAAGTGTCTGTATAGTAGATGCTTGATAAGGTGAGTGGGCGTAATACCCACCAGCTCAGCCCCTATCTCCCACGGTACACTCTAGGGAGAGGAGACAAGCAAAGCCACATACTCAGCACGTAGTAGGCCTCGTGAGCAACTGGCTGAACTGGCTCATTTCACAGGTGTGGACAGAGGCTCAGAGAGGGTGAAGTCTCCCAGCCCTGCAGCCCGTGGTCAGGGTGACCTTGGGATCTTACCCAGTGGAGACCCAGGGACCGTCGAGGCGTGGGGGCAGCAGTGTGGTGACTTGTGCTCCGTCAGGCAGGGGCTGCTGACAGCGGGGCTCCCAGCGCAGGTGACCTCTCCCTGCCACCGCCTCTGCTGTGCGGGCTGCAAACCAGTCAGAGCTGGGTTAGCCATCCTGCTGAATCACGGGAACTGCCTCCCCTGCCTGCCCTCCCAAGCCTGCCTGGACCACAGGGCTCTGCCCCCTAGTCCCAGGTGGGGACTTGAGAACACCTGTCCTTGAAGCCCCTCGCATCCAGCCCCCGACTCAGCTCTTGGATTCCTAGACTGTGACACTCCTGGCCTCCTAGGGGGAGAGGGGCCCAGATTCCCAGAACATGAAGCCCCTGGAAATTAGATGGCTAGGAACCTGTTAGCCAGACCCCCAGGTGCCTGGACCTTTCACAGACTGGCCTGCTGGGCTTGGCACCACTGGCGGGGGCTGAAGGGACCCCGCACTCCTGGATAAGTGCCCTTTAGACTCAGACCTGAGGAGCTGAGGGCGTGGACTCTGACCCTTCCCCAGAGCAGGATCCCTTCCCACCCGGGGAAGCCCCTGCTTTTGTTTGAACCTCTCGGCTGCAGCAGGCCAGACCTGCTGTCCACCCTGGAGGCCAGTGTCCCACCTTGAGGCTGCCTGTGTGGTCAGCCTCTGTGTCCAGCGTACCCAAAGCAGGGCCAGCACGAGGAGACACTCGGTGATGCCCAGTGAGTGGACAAGGGCACGGCCAGCGGGCACCCAGGGTGGTGCCCAGGCTAGAAGAGGGGCACATGCCCCTTCTTGGTGGCCTGCCTCCAGGTCTGAGGCTCCAGGGATGACCAGGGACTCCGGGAGGAAGGTGGGGTGGGGTGGACTCGAGCCACAAGGCAGCACTCGGGGCTCTGCACCCTCATGAGTGACCCCAGATGTGCTCTGCCAAGCCAGGGTGTGGGACATTCATGACCTCTTCTGTGAGCACTCGGAGGAGCACGTGCCAAGACCTGCAGCTGCTGAAGGACAGCAATTCCCCCTGAATGTCATCTCCACTCAGAGGCGCGGGCTTGAGGCCGTGCAGATGGCGGATACTGGGGACACTGTGCACTCTCAGCGTCCAAGTATTACAGCTGTGGGTTTGCTCATGGGGCTGGACCTGGGGCCCAGCTGGCCAGGGCGTTCTGGCGCAGCCTTCCCCCATGCCTGTGCTGAAGTGAGACAGGAGGGCAGAGCGTCAGAGGGCAGGCCATGGGGCCAGGGTACTGCTTGCCTCAATCTGGAGCTCTGAAAGTGGTGGGCCGAGCACAAAAGTGAGTGAAATGTTCTGCCTCTTCCCTTTCAACGTCCACACCTTCCCATCAAGGCTCAGGACAGGCAGCCCAGCACGGGAGGTCAGAGGGTCCTCACTTCCCTGGGGGTAGGGGAATGCATCCAAGACTCTCAGAGTTCCCACTGACCAGTGGAGAAAACAGGGGTGATGCCGACGAGGGTGGCACCAGTGGCTCCTGTTAGCTGAGTAACGACTCCGTGCATTTTTGTACTGTATCTCATATTATACTGTATCTCCTGTGGTCTTTGCAACAGTCCCGGGAGATGGACGCTTGTGTCTTCATCTTACAGATGGAGAAATAGGCACAGGGGATGGGCTGAGGTGGCACAAGGGTACATGCTACCCAAGTGAGACACAGCCAGGACTCGAGCCCCAGACATGGGACTCTGGAGCCTGACTCTTGACTGCTTAATCCTGTATCGCATCTCCAGCTTGGGTGAAAGGGGCCAATTGGGAGACTTAGCAGATTGCAGGGCATACACCAGGCATCTGCTGAATGAATGAATGGATGGATGAGTGGATAAATGAGTGGATGGATGGATGGATGGATGGATGAATAAATGGATGGATGGGTGGATGGATGAGTGCATGGATGCATGAGCGGATGAAAGAGTGGAGGGATGGATGGATGAGTGGATAAATGAGTGGATGCATGGATGGACGGATGAGTGGATGAATGAGTGGATGGATGGATGGATGAGTGGCTAAATGACAGGATGGATGGATGAATGAGTAAATGGATGGATGGGTGGATGGATGGATGAGTGGATGAGTGGATGAAAGAGTGGAGGGATGGACGGATGGATGGGTGGGTAGATGGGTGGATGAGTGGATGATTAGATGGATGGATGAGTGGATGAATGAGTGGATGGATGGATGGATAAGTGGATGAATGAGTAGAGGGATGGATGGATGGAAGGGTAGGTAGTTGGGTGGGTAGATGGGTGGATGAGTGGATGATTAGATGGGTGGATGGAGGGTAAGATGGATGGATGAGTGTATGAATGAGTGGATGGATGGATGAATGAGTAAACGTGCTTGTGTAGCTCTGGACCCTCGCTGTATTCCTGGTTTATCCACTGATTCATTAGTTTCAATTGCCAAAGAGGAGAAATGCAAACAAACCCACCAGCAGGGATGGGTTTCCTCATGCTGGTAATGTGGGCACTCGGCCACTCCACAGGCTCCCAGGGCCACTCTGCAGAGGGAATAAAATGCCCCTGAGGATCCTGAAAGAGAGAAGCTTGTGGGGCCCCTGCGTTAACTTGGGCACACCTCGTTTTACAGGTACCTGAACAGAATGTTGTGGTGGACAGATGGGTGGCCTTCAAAGTTAGGCCAGAATCCCAGCACAGGCCCTCCCCCCACCCCACAAGTCCTGAGCTGGGACATAGCACATCACCGCTGACGCCTCACACACATTAGTGCTTCTGCAATTGACCTTGTAGGAAGGCATTGGGTCCCTGGATGCAATTCTGCAGGTTAATTTCGAACTTCACCAGTGTTAACGAAACCTGTCAGCAAGTGTTGATTTGGAGAATGGAATGGAGGCAAAGGGAGAGAAGGCTCCCAGCGGTCAGCGTTATCTGCCTGGTGTGAAAATCCAGCTTCCACATCAGAGCAACCTAGTGACCGGGCCCTAAAAATTATACTGGCATTGTTTCCATGCACCCCAGTTTCTAGAGGAAATGTTTTTTGTTCCAAAGAAAACAAGCCTTTTTCCCTGTGTTCTATTTCGTCACGAATCCTCAGATATGAGATATTGCTAAATGTGTTCTAGTTTGTCTGTTTTTTTCTGCGAGAAATTAGGAAGCAGTGAAGTCAGGAGGCTACGGGAAGTAGTTAAACATGCACACATCAACACAGAGCTGGGGAAAACGCCAGACCCGAGCTTAGCCCTGCTTCTTGGCCATCGTGTAGCCTCAACCTCAAGGTTGCAGAAATAAAATTAAGCAATTTTAAATTATTCCATGAAATTTTCTCAGTCGGAGGCTTCAAGGTCGCCTTTGATTGTCTTCTCTTTCTCCCCTTCTCTTCCCCCGGCCCCTCTGCAGAAAAGTCTTCACTGAAGCAACACGGATGGAAAGCAGATGGTGCTGTGGACTGGGCTGCGTAACTTTTCACAGGGGCCAGATAGAGGGAGTTAAATGCATGGGCCAAATTGATTTTTATCAACCATGGATTTTTTAATTAACAGTGGTGTCCACTTACTGCTATCCATTATTTACTGTTTACCCACTAATTAAAAATTATGCTGCTTTTGCACTCAGACGAGCAGGGACATTTGAAATTAGATCGCATCGTTCCAATTACCTGCAGAATTAAATCTAGAGTGCCCAATTTCTCAGCCCACGCTAATGGGGCTTAAAATATGACCCGCTTCAGCCTGGTCTATGATTGTGACTCAGAGTACCAGGACAGGGCTGCATGGAAAAACACTGTATGGAAGCTGCCTGGGGCCTTTGGGGTGCTGGATGGTTGCTGAGCCCCTACTGTGTGCTGGGCACTTAGCCAAGGTCACCTTAAGATGCTTATATCAGCACCCAGCCTCTCCTAGCACACGCATTAAACGCTTTATTGCATTGTGGCGGTTAGTCCACCCAGCAACCCCAGGAGAGTATTGATGGGTGGTCCAGTGCCAGCCACTGCACCTGGCAATCCCCATGATTGACAGGCGTAGTCTGCACAGCCACTCATGATGGAGATTCTGCTGATGCCCCCATTTTACAGATGAGGAAACACAAGTTCAGAGGGATAGTAGGACTCAGCCAGTGTCAGATGCTTCTTATCTATTTCATTTATTGTGATAATAAAATACACATAACATACCCTGAACTTATTGCCCTGAGGTAAGATTTAAACCTTAAACCAAAAATATCCCCTAAGTCTTCTTAAAACCAAGCAGTAGTTTAGCTTAATGAGTAAAAAAGTCTGCCTTCCGCATTGTGCTCTTTTAAGATCTATCTGTATGGAATGAAACTGACAACAGCAACTCAAAAGGTTAGATAGGAACCTTCCGGGGACGTGCGTTCATGTTAATGGGGGAGGAACAACTCGGAAACGGAAGGTGAGAATGGTTGCACAACTCGAAGAATGTAATCAATGTCACACTGAATTGTACATGTAGAAACTGTTGAATTGGTGTATATTCTGTAGTGTATTTTCTCAACGACACCAACAAAATAAATAAAATTTTAAAAAAAATACACATAACATAAATTCACCATTTTAACCATTTGAAAGTGTAAGTTCAGGGCATTTAGTACCTTCATAAAGTTGTACAAACATCACTGCTATCTAGTTCTAGAACATTTTCATCACACCCCAAAGAAGCCTGTACCCATCAGCAGTCACCCCCAGCCCCCTGCCCCTACCCCTAGACAACCACTAACCTACTTTCTGTCTGTGTGGACTTACCTATTCTGGTATTTCATATAAAAATTACGTCTGCTTTTCACAACAATTAGGTGGATGTGCTCATCCCATTTTACAGATGAAAAACGGAGGCTGAGTGAGGTTCACACCCAGACCCACAATCCATGTTTCTTCCCAAGAGCATGAAGACAGGAGAGGGGGGTGAAGAAGAGGTTTGGGGTTTGCAGCCAGAGGAGAGGGACAAAATATCAGGTCTTTAGTTAAACTTTTTATAAAAGCACTGTTTTTCCTTATTCTAATTGGCTCGCCCCAAGGTTCCTGAAGCCAGAGGCGTGTGAGGTGATTTTAGGCGCAAGGGTGAGTGCCTCTGATTCCAGTGGTTCCGCATTGACATTAGAGGGTCTTAAAAAGCAGCTGTAGTTTTCA